CTTTTATATTGTTGCGAGAAAATTTTTTATATGACGAGATTTTTAAGTATATTATTTCTAGTTTTACATGATCCATTTCACTCGACATCAACTCCTTGAGTTAACTTTCTAACACTCAAAGCAGACTCAGTAAGCGAGAAAAAAGAGATCTCCAGAATTGAAAAAAATTTCAATTTTTTGTTTAAAGTAATGAAATTGTCTAAAATATGAACAAACAAAGATGAACATATACTCAAGAAAACTATGATATGTTACGATGATGTAATCTCTGGAATAACCAATCTTCTAGCATCTCGCTTTCTCTTATCTACCTAGTCGAGTTACCATTACAACACCATGTCCACATTCTCTAATAGATTGTTCGATGTTGCTATAATCACCATTTTTTTTCCAACTGATCTACGATAATTAATGGTGATAAAAAAATAAAGAAATAGGGAGAAATAGGGAGAAAGAGAAAGAAGACGTGAAGGCAGAAGCGTGAAAATCTTGTTAAAATGATGTAATCTATGAAAAGATTACAATGGTAAGCGCTACACTGTAATTTGCTACAAAATAGACAGTTTAAAATAATTTTTTGACATTCACCTACTGCTTCTATACCTTCTTTAATTAATAATTATGTATTGGAATTTGAATTTCTCAGATTATATTCCTAATTTAAAATATCGAAATCAAAACATCAAGTTGATAAAATCACATCTTCTTAACATGTATAGTTGAAGAGTATTGCATTGTGTTCCCATTCATCTACTTAACATTTACAATAATTCACAATGTAAAATAGTTTCGTACAGAACTTGATCTATCTTATAAGGTAACCCAAACTATCGGTTTTTTTTTGTTCCGTATTTTCCTTCTTCTTTTTTTGTTGAGGGTTGTCTTGAATTGAACAGGAGGAGCATTGTTGTTCTCGAGATTTTGAGGAACTAGAATCTCGTATTCAAACTGTTTCCAACCCGTTTCCAACCCGTTTTCTAATTGTTCTCTATGTAATCCAAAGAAGACTTGTATCCTAAGACCCTCGTTCCTATGATTATAGGTTTTTTTTGCCCAAATTATCTCCTCACAAGCCCCAAATTATCTCAAGATTTCAAGTTCAACGAAACAAGAAGAAATTCCACACCAAATTGTCAAAATTCCACACCAAAGAAGAAGAAACTAACCAAAAGAGAAGGAGAGAACGCATAGACTGAAGCAGAAGTTCGAGCTTTCTTCTTCTCCATATGTGGTGGAATTGCAGTGGTCATAACTCTGTATCGTGGAAGCGGTGTTACTCCTTGAAACACAATTGTAAAAACCATGAGATGGAATTTATCAAACGATCCGATAAATGTTGAGTGAAATTGAAGCATTTCTTACCTGTGCCATCATTACATGCTCTTAGTAGCCTCATCTTCATAACCTAAATCTCTGCAACCAAAAAACATCCATCTAAAACAAAAACAAAAAGACCATACTTTCTCTGCATTGCCTTTCTTTGGAAAAACAACAAACGTCGGAGAAATTTCCTTCACTGCGTCCATGATGTTACGAACCTCGAGAGTCACCACCGAATATAGCGATAGCATATGCTTCCTGTAAAAGAAAATCAAAAATCAGGGATTCAAGGACGAGCCATGTAGGAGTAGTTTTGCTTCGACCATACGCTTCCAAATCATCAAGGAATCGAGAAATGGCTAGCAACAAAGTCATGGCTCGTGCCTTTAATGTCTTCAAAGATTCGAGTTACGCAACCTTTAATCTGAACTGATGGATCATATTTGAAATTGAATGTGGTTGTTGTTGCGGCTGAGTCTTCGTTAAACCATGTATGTCACATCTATCAAATCCAGAAACTGGGTTCTTATTCACAGCGATAATTCAACACAACAAAGAAACCCCAAATTATCACAATAAAGAAGCCCCAAATTATCACACAACGAAATTTCAAAAGCTTCCAATTTCAAAAAAAAAATTGAAAACTAACTCTAATTTTTTTTGCTGCTAACTTCAGCTTTGAGTTTTGTAAGACCTAATCGCTAATGATATCTGTAATTGAAGCCCCAAATTATCTCCTCACAAGCCCACGAAACAAGAAGAAATTGCACACCAAATATATCAAAATTCGAGACCAAAGAAGAAGAACTAACCAAAAGAGAATGAGAGAACGCAAAAACTGAAGCTATTTGATTTTTCTTTTCTTCTTGAAAAAGAAAAAAGCTGTAGTGATTTGAGCGGGACAAAAATAGTATTTCTAGAAGAATATGAGTATTAGTTGACCAAAATGCCCTCCAATATGTTAGTAATTTACCGAAAATGCTACTCGTTTATGTTATTAGTGGACCAAAATACCCTCCACTATCTTAGTTAATTACCGAAAAATGTTTAGACCCATCCGATGAGTATTACTGGACCAAAATGCCCTCTAATATGTAAATGAATTACTGAAAATTATGTTATCATTTTCCGAAAATTAATTTTGGAGTAGTCATTTAGCTAATACTTTTGTCTCTCTATTTGCCAATACCACTCGAATTATTCATTTATCTAAGAATCGATCAAGGAACAGTTAAAAGACCCAATGAATTAGC